AATTATACATCATAACCAGGTGGGTCCCAAGGATAGTTCAATACATCATAACCAGGGTCCCAAGGATAGTTCAATATATGTAAATCTATAAATATAATATACCACATAAACAAAATAAAAAACAAAGACCATATGATTTTCTCAATAGATACAGAAAAAGCTTTTGATAATATCCAGCATCCTTTCTTGATCAGCATGCCTAAGAAAAAAGGTATAGAAGGAACATTTCTTAAACTAATGGAGGCCATCTACAGCAAACCCACAGCCAATATCATTTTGAATGGACTAAAATTGAAATCATTTCCACTCAGATCAGGAACCAGGCAAGGTTGCCCATTGTCTCCACTGCTTTTTAACATTGTAATGGAAGTCTTAGACATCTCAATCAGGCAAGAGAAGGCAATCAAGAGTATCCAAATAAGATCAGAGAAGATCAAACTGTCCCTTTGCAGATGATATGATTGTATTTCTGGAAAACCCCAAGAACTCAACTACAAAATTCCTAGAAGTGATCAAGGAATACAGCAGCACCTCAGGATACAAAAATTGATTTTTGTATCTCACAAATCTGTAGCCTTTATATATACCAACAATAGTCAAGGTGAAAAACAATCAAGGACTCTATTCCCTTTATAATAGTGCCAAAGAAGATGAAATATCTGGGAATTTGCCTAACAAAGGATGTGAAAGATCTCTATAAAGAGAACTAGGAAACTCTGAGAAAAGAAATAGCTGAAGATGTCAACATATGGAAAAACATACCATGCTCATGGCTGGGAAGAATTAACATTGTTAAAATGTCTATACTACCCAAAGAAATGTACAGATTTAATGCAATCCCTATTAAAGCACCTCTGTCATACTTTAAAGATCTGGAAAAATTAGTACTTCATTTTATACAGAAACAGAAAAAAACTTGAATAGCCAAGACATTACTCAGAAATAAAAACAATTCAGGAGGAATCATGCTACCAGACTTCAGACTATACTACAAATCTATAGTGATCAAACAGCATGGTACTGGCAGAAAAACAGAGGTAGATGTATGGAACAGAATTGAAAAACAAGAGATGAACCCAAACACTTATCATCATTTGATCTTTGATAAGCCTATCAAAAATATAAATTGGGGGAAAGATTCCCTATTTAACAAATGATGCTGGGTGCATTGGCTGGCAACTTATAGAAGACTGAAACTGGGCCCACACCTTTTTCCTCTAAAAAAAATTGACTATCACTGGTTAAAGGACTTAAACTTAAGACATGAAACTATAAAAATTCTTGGAGAGAGTGCAGGGGAAACACTTGAAAAAATTGCCTTGGGAGAATACTTTATGAGGCGGATCCCCAGGCAATTGAAGCAACATCAAACATGCATTACTGGGATCTGATCAAACTAAAAAGTTTCGCACTGCCAAGAACACAGTAAGTAAAGCAAGTACACAGCCCCCAGAATGGGAGAGGATTTTTGCAGGTTATATTTCCAACAAAGGTCTAATAACCAGAATCCACAGAGAACTCAAACTTATTATAGGAAAAGAACAAGTGATTCCATTTCATTGTGGGCAAGAGACATGAACAGAAGCTTCTCTGAAGAAGACAAGCGCATGATCTACAGGCATATGAAAAAATGCTCATCATCTTTAATCATCAGAGAAATGCAAACCAAAACCACTTTGAGATATCATCTAACTCTAGTAAGAGTAGCTCACATCACAAAATCCTAAAACTACAGAAGTTGGCATGGATGTGAAAAAAAGGGAACACTTCTGCACTGTTGGTAGGAATGCAAGCTAGTATGTTCCTTTTGGAAAGACGTTTGGAGAACACTCAGGGATCTAAATGTAGACCTGCCATTTGATCCTGCAATTCCTCTACTAGGTGTATATCCAAAAGACCAAAAATCACTTGGCAACAAAGATATTTGCCCCAGATTGTTCATTGCAGCTCAATTCATAATTTCCAAGTCATGGAAGAAGTCCAAGTGCCCATCGACACATGAATGGATTAATAAATTATTGTATATGTATAACACGGAATACTATGTAGCATTAAAAAAAGATGGAGACTTTACCTCTTTTATGTTTACATGGATGGAGCTGGAAAATATTCTTAGTAAAGTAGCTCAGGAATGGAAAAATATATCCAATGTTCTCCATACTACTATGAAAACAATTTATAATCACTCACATTTTCATATGAGAGATGAATCACAACTATAGCCCAGGATGAAGGAGGGAAGGGGAGGAGGATGGGAAGTGAGGGGTGTGGTTTGATAGACGGAGGGTTAATGGTGGGACCACACTTATGGAGCAATTGCAAGGGTACAAGTCAAATCTATCAAGTATAGAACACAAATGTCTTAACACTGTGCTTAAGTAAATGAAAATTATGTTAATTAGTAGGATGTAAGCACTCCAGTTTGTACAAATAATCAACACATTGAATCCCACAAGGGCATAAATGTATTCATGATCTATGTATATATGACTTTATAAAAAAAAAAGTAAGAATGATTATACTTGGTATTGGGAATAGTGGGAGGACTCTCATTTTTAACCTATTCTGCAGCATTTTTATTTTAAAAATGTATATTACTTTTACAATTAAATTTTCAAAAGAGAAAAAAAAGAAAAACATTTTCCAGAATATTCTATCTTAAAATTTAAACATTTATTAAAATCATGTTGATACTCTAATTCAGACATATGCTGTTTCATTTTTTTTTAATTATTGCAATTATAATCTTTGAATGACTGTGATCAGAATACAGAGCAGAGATGGAGCTACTTGAGTTGTTTCTCCAACAGCTCAGTCCTCCTGTGGTGTCAGAGGGCAGTCATGTGGCTGCTGAATTGTAGAAGACACACATGTAGTCAATTAGATAAGTAAAGTTGAGCAAATGGACTCTTGGCAGTACCACCAAAAAACAAAAAAAAAAAACCCAAACACCAAACCCCCCCCCCCCCAGCAAGAAGCAAAAATATGGAGACATTGCACAGCTCTTACCAGTAGCTGATTGTAAAAGTGCTTAGACTTTTGGTATTTCTTGGGGAGCGAGCCTGCGTTTGTACCACATCTGACATTTTTGTTCCCTTGGCCTGATTTCAAGCTTACTTTATCTACTTTATATCTACTTTAGGGTTTTATTTTGTTTTGCTTTGTTTATTAAACATAACTCTCTTAGTTACTCTACTCTGATCTATTTAACTTAAATGAGCCACTGAAAGGGAATCTGTGACTCTCTTTTGTTTATTGAAATCTGAAGCCCAAAAGGGGGGTGATAAAGATTGCTTTGACAAGAGAGGCAGCTAATTATCAGGAGATAAATCACAGACTTCCTAGTAATGTTTAATTCACATTTACTTTAAATGTATTATTTAAACATCTCTAGCATTGAAGATTTTGATGCAGATCCTGAAACTTAGAAGACTTGTTTTTGTTCTGAAATCCTTTGTAGTTCCACCCAGTATTAAAGGAGGAAATGTCACTGCAGAAATATCAGTATTGATCAACAGTATGATTAAACTGGAATGTGAAACACGGGGACTTCCAATGCCTGCTATTACTTGGTATAAGGATGGCCAGCCAGTCATGTCCAGCTCACAAATACTTTACATTGATAAAGGACAATTTCTTCATATTCCTCGAGCACAAGTCTCTGATTCAGCAACATATACGTGTCATGTAACCAATGTTGCAGGAACTGCTGAAAAATCATTTCATGTGGATGTCTATGGTAAGGAAAAATACATGCTTTAACTGTGTACTTTTATACCTATTACTTCTAATAGTTTCTTCACTAATAGGACTTTTGTGAGTTTGACTTTTTTTTAATATTCACGGATATGAATTGGCAGAATTTGTACCATGATTTAGAAAATATTAGTTAGCAAGATATATTAGAAAGCTATAGTTAGCAAGAAGTAAGTCATTCATTTGACGGACTTTGCACACGTTACTTGAAACATCTATCCCAGATGTCCAACCTTTTTTGAGGCCTATTTTCCTTATGTGGTGTCAAATATTATGAGAATTATGTACGGACCCTTTTTTTTTTTTTTTTTACTCATCAGCTTTCATTAGGGTTTGTGTTGTAATCTATGGTCCAAGACAACTCTTCTTCTTCCAATGCACAGCAGGAAAAATAAAAGATTGAATACTCGTGATTCTAGACTATTTGTTCTCATAGAGAAGGTAAAGTAGTTGTTGGGATTAAGATCATTCTCCACTGTTTGTCCTTTGTAAGTCAGATAGTGCAGAGCATTCCAGAATAATTAGAAAAGTTGCTGATCAAACTTTATATGGTCAAACATTATGAGAACAAATATCTCCCTTTCATTTCATTAGGACATACTTTGTGACAACACAAACAATTGCCTGAAATATTACTGTTTTTCTCCCTAGTTCCTCCAGTAATTGAAGGTGACTTGGCTACACCTTTGAGTAAGCAAGTAGTTATTAATCATTCACTGACACTGGAGTGCAAAGCTGCTGGCAACCCTCCTCCAGTTCTCACCTGGTTGAAAGACGGCATACCTGTGAAAGCCAGTGACAACATCCTCATAGAAGCTGGTGGGAAGAAACTTGAAATTATGAGTGCCCAAGAAGTTGATCAAGGACAGTATGTATGTGTGGCCACCAGTGTGGCAGGAGAAAAGGAAATCAAATATGAAGTTGATGTCTTGGGTAAATAAAGATGCCACTACCTGGGTTCTCAGATTCATAGGAAAGCCTGATTAGTTTATTAAATACTTTTTTTAATGATTTTTTTTATTGTTTGGGATCCATTGAGGGTACAAAGAATTAGGTTACATGATTGCATTTGTAAGTCCATCTTATACTTGTGTCCCGCCCTCCAAAGGTGTGCTATACACCATGACCCTCATGTCTCTCCCTCCTCCCCTCTACCTGCTACCTCATTCCCCTACCCCACCCCTTGTACTAGCTCATCTACTACATTCATTTAGAATTGAGTACAATGGATTCTTACTTCTCCATTCTTGTGATGCTTTACTGAGAAAAATGTGTATCACCTCCATCTAGGTTAATACAAAAGATGTAAAGTCTCCAAATACTTTTTTTTTTGTCATGCAATAATAAAATAATCTAAAAGAAGATATAATTATCTGTTCAACTCGGTACTACTATAATTAAGAGATGAATTTTTTACTGGGATTCCAGGAACTAGAACATAAATCTTCCACTGATTTTGATAAGTATACTTGTATTTGCAATGGCATAGATGCATTCTTACATCTCTGACCTATGTCTGATTGAAGCGAGCAACAACTTGGTCTTCTGTCCTGAGCACTGTGCCAGAGACTAACAGGAAACTTTTTTGTATCTGGGCCTTGAGAAGCCATCTGAAACCTCGAGTCTATAAATTGAAAGCTTTTGAATAGATGGCCCACTTTGATAGGTTTCCTTCTCTTGTCTTTATGAAAATAAACAACATAAAAAATGAATCAACTTTGTATTCACATGGCATCAGCACACCATAGTGACAGATAAAGAAATAGCCATGATATGTCAAAAGTACATTTATTGATCTTGGTGAGCATTCTTTATAAAATGCATTTCAAATTCCCTTCACGTACCAAACTGCTATTTTGTTATTAACCTTCTAAACCACTACTTAGCATTGCTTGATGTGATGGTGTGCTTTTTTCCTTGTCTACATTTCTTTATTACATCCCTGCTGTTTTCTAGTGCCACCAGTGGTAGAAGGAGGAGATGAAACATCTTACTTCATTGTGATGGTCAATAACTTACTGGAGCTGGATTGTCATGTGACAGGCTCTCCCCCACCAACTATCATGTAAGGGTCTTGGTATGTCTTCTAAATACCTCCCACTTTTTTAGTTTGAGTGTTTTAGAGATATCTTGAGAGATGTTCTAGATCATTAAAGGGTGATTCTTTATATTCCTATTTTAAAAGACATGCTAGATTCAAGGCAATGTCTACTTGATAGTGACAGAGCACCTAATCTTGCTCAATTAGAAGAATTCCATTACATGGTCTTACAAATCACATTTTCAGACTGGGAATCAACATTAATGTCATACTTTCCCGAGGCACTAAAATGGTCAAGAAACCCTTAAATAAAATGTTTACCAGACATATCAGCCACATGGACATGGTTAATGGCATATGCATTTACCACTTCTTTTCTCATATTCTTTCATTTACAAAGCATTTGCTGAATATTTAAGCTTTCATTTTCAAGGTGCCATGGGATATGCAAAGATATAGTTGATGGAAGGAATGAGAGATGTCTGTACCTACTGAAAAACTAAATGGAAAAGGATAACTCATAAGAACCATAAAAATACAATACTATATGATTTCGGGGTTTATACTGCAAATGTTTTAAGATTATGTATATTTTGATGGTTAATACTCTTTAGACATTGAAATGAGTAATATTTAGGGAACTTTGCCTCTTTTTATAGCCTAAAATCAGTAGAAGAATTAAGAACTAAACATATAATTATTGAGTTCCAACAATATGCCAACTTCTGCATCAAGCCAGCTTTCCTTTTTACTTCTGTTTTCCATTTTCAATTTATTTTACAGAGTGAGGAACGAGGACCTTAGGTAAATACACAATAGGGAATATCTATCTCTACTAGGAAGTTGTAATACTTATTTAAAGATATATTCAGACCTCTTTTTGCCTTTTCTATAGGTGGCTGAAGGATGGCCAGCTAATTGACGGAAGGGATGGAGTCAAGATTTTACTTAATGGACGTAAACTAATTATCACTCAGGCTCAAGTGTCAGACACCGGTCTTTATCAGTGTGTGGCAACAAACACCGCTGGAGACCACAAGAAGGAATTTGAAGTGACTGTTCATGGTATGTTGAAGAAAGAACGGGAGTATTGCAGTTTAAATTAATTTATACATGGTTTTATTATCTAATTCAGCTTGTAACTCAGTAATCTGGATATATCTCGAGGTATGGAAAGCGATATGAAAGAGAGGAATTTAAGTTACATCATGGAAGATTTTATACACTTTCCTGACACAGAGACTCAACCAAGAGGTATCATGTGAATGCCCTGAGGTAGAATTTAAATGTTAGGAAGTGTATTTTACATAAAATGGGAAGGTCTGAGGAATGAGGCCAAATAAGATAGAAGAGGCAGGGAGCAACTTGCAAGCAAAGGGACTGTGCTAGCATTTAAGGGTTTAACCAAAACAAGGCTTGTGAATATAGTAGTTTTCAGAAATGGAGGCTGAGGATGTGACTGCAGGATCCAGAGCACATAAGTGCATTCAGAGAACTGGCACATTAGGATTATAACCATTAATCTAATGACAGAAGCAACCCTCTGCCAGGGCATTCTGTGTCTCACGTGCCAGCAGAACTTGGGAAGGGAAGGACTGTAACCAGACACTGGAGAGCCTTTTGGAGAGCAAGCTGCAAGAAGAGATTTCTAAGAATGTCAATTTCCTTCTACCCCTGACTCTGCAGCCTATTGTTTCTGGCTAAAGTCCTCTGTCTCCCGATGGGACATAGATCCTATTTCTCAGTTTCAATTCCAGTTCATGAAGAAGCGAATATGGCAGATCCAGCTTAAATCAAATTCCCATCCCACATTCAATCAGCCTTGCTGAAGGCAGAGTCACACAGTACGAATAAAGGTGGAAACCCACAGATGGAAACCCACCCTGACTTACTGAGGTAGAAAAAGGGTAGGTCATTATAGATTGGGGAAAAACACCAAAAGATGTAAGTCAAACCTATGTGTCTACTGCAGTAACCATAAGTACGTTTTACTTATTCTCTGGTGTATTAGAGATCTAGTTAAGAAATAAATCATCTCTAAAATTGCTAGAAATTATAAATTAAATTGTTTCATTGTTTGTTAAAATAGGGACTTGCTTTTTTCTAAATTCTAAGGTTTTGGTTCTTGCCTATACATTTTGAAGTGTTTGACCCCAATGATTATGGTTTTCATTCCCTCCTTCCTGTCTAGTTCCTCCAACAATCAAGCCTTCAGGCCTTTCGGAGAGAGCTGTGGTGAAATATAAGCCTGTCACTTTGCAGTGCATAGCCAATGGCATTCCAAATCCATCCATTACATGGTTGAAAGATGGCCAACCTGTGAACACTGCCCAAGGAAACCTCAAGGTAACTATAAATATTACTGAACCTGAATTGAGAACGTTCCATTGATCTTTCTGGAGCTATCACATTATTCTTTCTTTCTTTCTTCTTGGGTAGGGGAGGCTTTTATTCTATTTTATTTTTAATTGACAAATAATCATACATATTCATAGGATACATAGTGATATTTCAGGATGTATCACATATAGTGAACACATCAGGGTAATTAGCGTATATGTCATCTCAAGCATTTCTTTGTGTTAGGAACGTTTGATCTCCTCTGTCTAGCTATCTGAAACTGTATAGTATATTATTATTAGCTACAGTCATTCCACAGTAATAGACCACAAAAACTTACTCCTCCTATTTAGCTGTAATTTTGTTCTTTAACAAATCTCTCCCTATCTCTCTCTTCTCCCTACCCTGTTCTTTCTTAATTGTAGATTTTCTTGTTGGAATGATTTTACTGAACATATATTAAAACAATATGTGTTTCCCTTAGTATTTAAAAAAATTTAACATAATATTTTGACTCAAAGAATGGCATTAAAAACTAAATAAGTTAACAATGACATTGATTTTGACGTAGTGGGTTTTTTTATTATTTTGGTTTATGCTTGATTTAGCTATTGAAAACTGGTGTCTCATGGATGATCTAGATAATCTAAATTATGCATTTTAAAAATCAGAATTACCATAAGGTTTTAAATTAAGTGATGTTAGCCTCTAGCATTGTTCCTCTTTCTACAGCATTTTGTCTTTTCTTGATCTGCTGCATTTCCACCACTGCTGCATTTCCACTAAATTATAAAATTGGTTGGTCAGTGTCCACAGAGTGTCATGCCAAGGTTTTGATTGGGACTATGCTGATGAGAGCTGGGGTATCTTTGATCCTCTTGTGGTGCTAAGCATCAATCCAAGTGCCCATCACACCTGAATGGATTAACAAACTGTGGTATATGTATACCATGGAGTACTGTTTGGACATATAGAAGAGGTAGATTTTTCTACTTCCCTTGTAATAACGTGGATGGATTTGGAGAACATTCTCCTAAGTATTTTAAGATTAGAAAAATAAGCAATACACGTAATACCAGTTTGAAACTACGAGATTAACAATCAGAGACCCGCATGAGAGAAAAACTAAATTATATTCAAGAAGGGAGAGGCGAGGAGGGGGACAGGTCATTTGGTAGCTTCCCACCCAGTGGGTACAATGCATGAATACGTGGTACATTCTCTGGGTGTGGGACACAGCGACAACTCTGACTTTAACCTGTCATGTGTACATTATAGAACCTAACGGTTTGCACCCTTATATTAATCTGAAATTAAGATAAATAAATTATGGTTAAGCTAAAGTGAGAATAATAAAAATAAAAATTCATAGATTTTGCTACTGGGATCAAGTTAATTGACTAATGTGGGTTTGAATGGTCAAGTTTGCATTTTTGTAGGTATCCTGAACCCCTTTTAAGAGGTAAATTGGAGGAGCCAAGAGTGGATAATGTAGAAACCAACTAGCACCTATTTGCTTTTGTTTATGAGGAAGAAAAGAGAAATTTGGACTTCTATGCTGGCCACCAAAAGGAGGATATTTGTATAAATTTGAGTTGTGTCTTAGTTAAAGCATTGGAGATTGATGAAGGATTGTTTATGAAAGCTGAGGGAGAGGGATGTGTCAAGGAAGACCCCTACTAACTGAGCTCACATAACCACGTGGGTAGTGTTGCCATCTAATGAGACAGAAGACTATTGAGGAGGATGTATTTCCAGGGGAAAAACTGTAATTTGAGGTTTAAGCTTTTGGGGGTTGAGATGACTTGAAGGTAAACTAGTAAAGATGTTAGTAAATCATTGAATATAAGGTCCTGGGGTTCAGAGGAAAGCTCTGGCTGGAAATATTGGCACATCAATATTATTTGAAACTATGAGCATGGATGAGTTAATCCAAAGAGGGAATAAAGAGGAAAAAGGAGAAAGGACTGACCCAATTCAGAGTCTTAAAAAATTATGGCATGTGGAGGCCACATGTAATTGTCCAGAGACATACATATAAATGTATGGATGTGTTTATGACAGTATGAATGGAGAATAGGTTAAAAGGGAGTTCACATGGGAAAGTTTGGAGAGAAGGTCATTTGGGCTCAGAATGTGGTGAGCCTGAAGAGCTGTGCTGAGTTTGGATTTCATTCTGGACAAGGTGGGGAGCCACAAACAAGCTTTGAAGGGGAACTAGTAGAAGGATCAAATTTGCTTTTTAAACAACTTATTCTAGCAGCAGTATGCAAGACAGATTACTAATTGTTGAGGCTCGAGACACTGGAACATTCGTTAAGAAGCTATTATAATCCCTCAGTGGCAGTGGAAATGGAAAACAGGGGATTTGAGAAACATACAGTGATATAATTAATAGGAGTGAAAGTGGACTCCAAAACCATTTGGAGTAGGTACCGTTTAACAAGGTTGGAACATTCAGTGTGAAGCAGGTTTTAGAGATAGGTTTATGATCTTCCTTCTAGATACATTGGATTTGATATACTAACCTGTTCAGCAGAGAGCTGAAACTATAAGCATAGAAGGCAGGAGAGAAGGTGAGGCTAAAGCTGGAAATTGAGGAGTCTGCATAAGGGATTTTTGTTGATGCCACGGGTTTGAATGAAAACTGTCAGAGAGCTGTATTTCCTGCCAAGAAGAGGAAGCAGATTTTGTAAAGAAATGTCCTGAGACAGAGAATACAAACCAAGGGAATGCCGATCTACACCCAGAACGCAGAGAGTTTCAAGGAATAGGTGGTCATCCATGCCAAATACTATCCATGGTGGAAGAGAGTATGAGATTACCACACAGGATGCTGTACAATGTGAGTGGAAATTACTAGTAACCTCCAAATAGTCAGTTTCAAAGAATCAACCTCTGAATCACTAGTTTCAAAATGGTGGAGGCCAGTTGTAATAGATTTCAAAGGGAAATAAGGAAAAACAGTCAGGAAGAAATTTATCTGCATTTTCATTATTCATATTTTAAAATTCTGTTGTTTTTCTGGCCCCCATCACCATTTAATCAAAAAAGATTATTGTTTTCAAACTATTTATGAAGTGTTATATAAATGTGCCATGTTTTTTCAAATGGCTTAAATTTTCATCCCATACTTCACAGTTCAGTGCTAACGTCTTTTAGTCAGTGGAGTTTTATGACTATACCAGCAGTCTGGACTTAGGTTATTTTATTTTACATTTTCCAGTGACTAAGAAAAGGTTTCCTATCAAATTAGTCTATCTTCTCATGCATGATGAATCTGGCTCTGATCTATCAAGAGATAATTAGTGTATTGGCATGAAAATATAACTGGATATTATAAATTGAAATGAGTTTTTTTCCTTATCCTAGTGAATGTTTTCAAGTCCAAGTATAAAGTAGAAAATTCTCCCATACTTTCTGCTCCCAATTAGATACAATCTTCTGGTCGAGTTCTGCAGATTGCCAAAGCCCTGTTGGAGGATGCTGGCCGATATACATGTGTGGCTACCAATGCAGCTGGAGAAACACAACAGCGCATTCAATTGCATGTGCACGGTAATGTAATTTCCACATCTTAACAAAAGAGTATTTCTATGGCTTTATTTTGGAACAGGGTGGGCTCATTTTTATTAAAATACAGTATGAGATAAATATTTTAGTCTGTATGAGAAAAACTAGGGTTTTTTTTTTTTTTGACATTACATAATTACAATTGCTCATAGTAAGATCTTTAGTTTTCAAGTTGTCAAATAGGATGGGCTGGAGCCTGTAAATAAATACACTGTGCTGTGTTTTAAAGTATCTGTATTCTGTTAATGCCTAACTTTCTACAGATGGCTTTTGTTGGAAGGACAGAAGGTGCAGCATTGTTCCTTGATCGCCTGTGATGTTCATACCTGGCCTGTGAGAGGGATTTTGTGATTAGGAGCTATCCTTGGCTCAAGACCTTTTCCTATGTGCTTTAATAAAAACCCTGGGTGGTCATAGAGCACCTCATTAATATTACAGGTTGACAGTAAACTTGAGAGACTACATGACCTTGAATAGAAGTCTTCAAATCTCTATAGGCTCATCAAAAAAAAAAAAAAAAAAAAAAAGCAGCCAGGAATTGGAGGGCAGGACTTTCCTAATTCAGCCAGCATAGTTATAGAAAACAGTTCAAGATTTCCATGTACACGTTACTCATTTTCTCTAGCTGATATGATTACTTGTTCAACGTTTTATTCATTTAATCATACATACATGTATTTATTCTGTATTTACTGAAGAATTCAACCTAGAATAATGCCCTCGCACCTAGCTTAATTACAGGTCTATAGAAGGCAGTCAAAAAATATTTAACAAATGAAAGAGTAAATACTAGAAAAGTTTTAATTGGATATTAAATTTTTCTAATTTCCTTCTTTGCTTCCATTTCCATCTAAGAATATGTTGGGAGAGAACTGTCTTTCCCTCTCCTATTTCCCTGGCCTGAAGCTCCTTTTATCCCCTTTTAACAAGCTGTTAATTTTCTCTCAATCATCAATTTCAATTCTTATCTGGCCTCTACTTTAACCAAAAGAAAACGGTGAAGTAGCATAACATGGTATGGTGCAGTATATCTCTGGCCCTGGAGTCAGGCCAAGTTTGGCCTAAATTCTATGCTAAATATGGTGTATGTTAACTTGAGTCAACTCCTTAATTATTCTAAGTATCTCACTTCCACGGTGGTTTTGAGGTTTAGAGATAATAGATGTAAAATATCACCCACTTGATAGGTACTTAATAAATGGTAACAGCTACCATTTCTCACTTCTATTCTATGAGACGTTAAAAAAAAGAATAACGTTTTGTTCTCTAGACTGACTTAAAATACTTAAATGAAGGCTCTATAATGAAGAAAAGCGTGTATGTCTTCATAAGTAGGACGAATTTGCCTATAACAGAGGCTCTTACATATCAGTGTTCATAAAAATCATAGGTGTTGCATAATAAAAATACAGTTTCCTGGGCCCAGTACCAAGCATCTTGAAATAGCATTTCTGATGCAGGTGGTCTGTGAGCCAGTATTTGGACAAACATTGGCCCAGACATTAAAGATTGGCGTAGAGACTTGCCAGTGTAGTCAAGAGTTACTAAAAACTAGAGTCCGTGAAAAAAATTAAGTATCCCATCAAATAAAGAGTTACAACAGAAGAGAAAAAGCAGAATTGATATCTAAGAAAACACAAGTCTGTAAACCTACAATCTGAATACTGTGACAAAACTTTGTTGGCAGGAGACGCAATTAGGGTGCACATCTCCATGGAAAACCATCAAAGAGAAGGGGAGCAGGCTGGAAAACATCTGGGTTAATGTGAAAAGAAAGAGAAACAGAAGGTTAGTCATTGTTAGGGTTGCTAAAAATTGCTAAATCATAAAAAGAATACAAAATAATCTTTTTTGGTATAATACATATCATAGAATGGAAGTAAGATATAGTATCTTAAAACATTTCAGCTAATAAGGTTTTGACTTGTCCAGATAACAGTTCATCTCCCTGAAGGGAGCATAGATGATAGAGTAAACTTCTAATCTAATGCTAATTATTATCAGCCTGGAGGAGGTGATAAGTGCATGTGACTAGAATCTTGACAGAAAGTTGGAATATCATCTTGCCACTCATGACAGCAACGTCATATGGGCTGCATGCGGCTCCAAACTTGACTCTATCCTCTCCAATGCTTGTATTAACAACTTTAGTGATAGCTGGAGATGTTTAAAGAGCATGTAGGAATTTCTAAGAGACTAGATGATAGACATTGAAAAGATCTCAGCAGTTAAAATGACGAGTTAATACGATGTGAAAAATTACATAAGAATTGGATGTAAAAAGAGTGGTTGCTTGAAGACACTGCACATTAAAATACTTGAGTAGTTGATAAAATAAATATATAAACAATTACATGCTCATATGAACAACAAAGCACAAATATAGCCTAGTATGGGGGCAAAAGGAGCAAGGATGAGGTAGAGGGATGGGGGAGGACCATTGGCAGAAGGAGGTAGGGCAATTGGTGGGATCTTACCTGAGGGGCACAATGCAAAGGTATATAGCACACTCTAAGTGAGAACACTGTAATCCAATAATGTTGTACCCTCCTATTAATTTGAAATAAGTTAAAAAAAGAAGGAAACAAACAAAAAAGATAAAATACTTGAGTATTTGGATTTGGATTGCTTCAATTTCTATAAATACGAGAATTCAGTTTTATAAGAATTGAATCAATCTTAGAAGTTAGTAATAGAAGTTGTAGTATAAGGAACAAGAACGGAACTAGTCCTGTTAATACTCTTGCTCTTTGAAAGCTTCCAAAGTATTGCATCCAATTCTGGTGCTATATATTAAGAAGGGTATGAAAAATCCATAAGGAAGCAATCATCATTTAATCCAGTCGTTATTTATTTAACGGACCCTATGGTCATTTTGAAGTTAGGATTTGTTTTAATCCCAATCCTTGTTAATAGATAACAGATTCAACAAATATGCTTTTACTATAGTTTTCATCCAAAAAATGTTCGATCCTAAGATAACTTAACATTCCAATTGTTTAATACTTTCCTTTCTGGTAAAAAGGTTTAGATACTACCATTCTTTTAATCATAGCAAAAAGTGTTTCCAACAGCTTCAGAAAGGGTGCATTGTTCCTGGACTAGAAGACCAAGTCACCGTCCTGAGAAGAAGACCATTCTCATGAGACTTTCCAGTGGGGAGTTCTATCTATTATAAAAGGCAGGAGTCCACAGTAGGTGGTCTTTTTTGATCATCAGAGTTTCATAATTCTGGAAGTTTTTATTTTCTAGGTCAGACTATTAAATTATCTCTAAACCTCAAATATTTTTGGTGAGACAGATGTTTCCACAAACAAATGATTTGGGGTCTAATAGCTCAAGCGTTTATTTTATCTGCATATAATTATTTCCTAGGAAAAATAAACCAAGGTGAAATGCCCAGAAGTAGGATGTTGTGATTTAAAGCATGGGCTTAGAATGTGGGACCCAACCCACTGCCAATTAATACTTGGAGGACAATGTGCTTAGATGTTAACTTTCTAAAAACTTAGATTCTTCATCTGCAAAATGGGAAAGAACAGTGATAACACAGCACAGTCATGGAAGTTGTGTGACAATTAAATGAAAGAAAATCTCTACCTGGTACCAAGTTGCTAGTCAACATCCAGAAAGGGTAGCATGAAGACTGTTTTGGCAGAACACATCTTTAACGTTTGGCCCTTCTCACTGCAACGTTTTAACAAATATATCGAAAGTCCTCCTGCCGTCACTATTGGCCAGGAACCCTTTTCTGTCTGTATTAGTTGTCTGGTAAAAGCATTAGTAGGGCCCCCCTTATTTTTATTTTTAAAAAGTATTTGCTTGGCTAACACCTGCTAACACCCACTCAAAAAAAGGTTTCTCTATCATGTCTGTGTTTTGTTGAATAGTTGACTTGTGGCCTAATGGAGACTTGGGAATGTTGTGGGGAATATTTTTTTTTTCCTTTTTTAACAGCTAACCTCATTCAAGACTGAACTATACTATTTTCATGGTGTAGATTAGTTGATTCCTCACTATTTCATGCGTTCAATGGACAGGGAGTATTAACTCACCAAAATCACTTTTAGATCAGTTATATATATTAATTCAAAATTTAACCAAGATTTTAAAGAGTCAGTTCATGCCCTAAGTGGTTAAAGTAATAGGTAGAATCTAGTTCATAATGTGACATGAAGAAGGTAGTGTGATTTGGGCATGATATGTATGTCCAGTTTTTGAGAAAAGGAAGGAAAAACAGCCATTTAATTAATTGGAAATCAACCTCCTGTTTGAAGGATACAGACATCTTATTGTTAAGATATTGTTACCTTACTGATGCTCCCTCTGGAACAATTTTTTCCTAAATCCAGAAATATCCATTTAAATACTAGAGGGGAACAATGGAATTTGTATTTACTTTTTTTGACCGTAAAATGAGAAAGAAGCCAAGTTTTTCTTCTATTTATTATTTGGACTAACATTGGAACTCTTTGGTGCTTGGGACATTGAACTATCACAGGCTTTTGTAGGCAGAATTGTAACTTTTTGGCAAACAGTCCCCTCAAGATTTAATAGGTTTGCAGTCCGTGTATTTCTTGTCTGTCCCATGGGCTTCCTACCAGACCCAAATAGCTTCTCTGTGCAGAGGTCTTTGGTCTTCAGCTTTGCTCTTTTAGCTCCACTGTTCTGTTTTGACATTTCTAAAACATGTTTTAAATGATGGCTCATTTGAGGACATCAGAAACAATGGGCTAAGTTAATGCCCTTATGTTTGTTAGGTCCGGCTGAGAAGACTTAAAAAAAAAACAAAAAAACAATTCTAAGCAATAATTTTTATCTCTGACTCTTCAGAGTAGAAAAAGAAGTTGGCTTTTTTTTTTCAACGCTCTGAATCAATAAATTAAAATTGCATTGAAATCTAATGAGCAGAAAATCAGACTATTTAATTTTTACAAGAGATTTTTATGTCTCAGTTATGGCCACTCCTTGATTCTCTGATGATT